CAGCTGCCACTGAGAACAGCAGCGGCAGCCATAACTTTTTAAGGAGCCCGAAGGAGAGCTGGGGGAGCCAGAATGACCTCTCAAGGTGGAATTTGCCCCTACGAGTCCAAGGCCACCACCCCGGGGCTCAGGGAGGTGGGAGAACGTTTTGCCCAGCACCCTGCAGGCGTCGCAGCTGGCGCTGAGAACAGCAGCAGCAGCCATAACTTTTAAAGGAGCCCTGAAGGAGAGCTGGGGGAACCAGAATGACCTCTTGCGTGTGAGTTCAAGGCCACCACCCCGGGGCTCAGGAAGGCGGGAGAACGTTTCCCCCCGCCCCCCCCGCCCCGCAGGCATCGCAGCTGCCGCACAGAACAGTGGCGGCAGCCATAACTTTTTAAGGAGCCCTGAAGGAGAGCTGGGGGACCAGAATGACCTCTCACGTGTGATGTCCCAGCGGACATCACACGCGAGAGGTGGAATTTGCCCCTACGAGTCCAAGGCCACCACCCCGGGGCTCAGGGAGGCAGGAGAACATTCCCCCCCCCCGCATCGCAGCTGTTGCTGAGAACAGCGGCGGCAGCCATAACTTTTTAAGGAGCCCCGAAGGAGAACTGGGGGGAGCCAGAATGACCTCTCGCGTGTGATGTCCGAGCGGCAAGTCAAAATCCAAAGAAACAGGACATGAAGAAGTTAGTTTTGGACAAGGCGAAGTAAGATTCAGGAAGAACTGAAGAAGGCAAGGTCAAGCAGAGAAGAACAGCATATACTTGGCTTGTTGGCTTTCCGTGGCTGGGCTGCCAACAGGGCTGGGGGACTGATCTGATCCAGAAGCAAGCAGAGTCTAGACTAAGAGGCAATCCTGCAACATGGCAGAGGAAGGAGCAGTGGGATCACGTCTTTCTAGATCAGAGGTGTCGAACTCATTTGTCACAAGGGCCAGATCTGACATAAATGTCACTTTATTGGGCTGGGGCCATCCATGTATTCCATAAAACATAATGCCAGCCACTAGGGATATAAAAACTGCATAAAGGACAGCAGCAGGTAAGCTCTGAGTTGGTGGATCCTCACTGCAAGACCCCATGGGCTGGGAGGGGGATGCAAAGGAAAACCCAGATGGGCAGACTAGAAAGCCAACAGTGCAGCACTGGGCAGATGCTCCCACACTGCTTGACTGCTGCAGATGATGCTGTTTCACCATGCTGAAGCCAGAATCGGAGTGGCTCCACCCACTCCCCCCCGCAAGTAGTCTCCTGTTCCCTCCCTTGCACTAGTTGCTCGTGGGCCGCATAAGAGCCCTGGACAGGCCAGTTCTGCCCCTCAGGCCTTATGTTTCACACCCCTGTTCTAGATCTTTCAGGATGACCAGTGATTTTGATCATAGCCAATTTTATTTGATTGGTTTGTGTGTTACCTCACAAGTGTGGAGCTGCATTCTTGTGGCTTCTTGCCAGTTCTCACACCTCTCTGATAATATTTGGATGCAGGAACCACATTTCAGTACCAAATCTGAGGTTCCTTCTCAACTGGATATTGCCTGACTGATGAGTACAACATATGCGAGAGACAAAACCACACTGATAAAGTGAAAAAAACAGTTGTTTTTATGCTCCGACTGGGCAGTTAAGACCAGTATTATCTTCCTTCTACAGATGGATTAATTTAACCATGCTTTGGCAGCTATGGAAGATGACTTTCCCACAGAGGTACAGCTACCATGTGCTAGATTTTTAAGCAGCTATCATATGGCTCCTGGTCATCTAAATACAGCATTTACAAGGAGCTTCCCATGCTACATTTTGTATTCAAGAACAGATGCTCTAATACAAGAACAGATGCCCTAATCCAAAAGCCAAGCATGTCCTATTTAATAGCTATTTCTTTACTTTAAATGCATGAAAGCAGCAACTCAGGGTTCTTCCTCGTATTTTAGAAGGGGAGGTGACACATTATGGACATAAACATGTTACAAGGGAGAAATGACACACGGTATGGCCTTTGCAACTTATACTGAGTTATCTGACTCGTACTAAAAATATATAGTGAGGATTTCCCAATCCCTGCACAGGGCATTATGGAACCAGAGATTCTAATCTATGGAACAGGAATGTGGTTGTGAAATAAGACACATTTCCTCCTAATCATGACTTCCCTAGAAAGAACAGGGCAGCTTGAAGTATCTGGAAGGAATTTCAGTGTTCATCTGAGAGGCACAGTTGGCAAGGATCTTTAGCAGCTATTAGAATCAGTTGCAAGCAAATACAACAGATCAGGACTATGTGACATAGCAAGAGGAATTAACAGGCCTTGCACCAGAGATTGGCACTGTCAGTCATTTGCTGGCGCCCATGCTCCAGTAAGGGCCCACTGCTAAGTGCCAACCACGGTCCTCCTGCTGTTCCTCCTCCTCTTCCTTGCTATTGATGCCCTCTCCATCAGAGCAGTGGTGGTACCAGGGCCCAGATGGAGAAGGAATGAGCAATGGTAGCAAGGGACGGGGTCCTTTGAGGGTATTTTGCTTGAGGGACTTTTGAAACCTGGACTCAGCACAGTTACCGTGGAAGAACTTCTTAAATTAGGATTAAATCAAGGAGGGATACTTGAAAAGGATGTCTCTATTGCCCATTTGATAGTCTTTCATAAAACAATCACTTGGATCCATGTGTAATTTGTACAGATAGAAGAGAGTTCCATCTTTGGAGTACAACTTCCTTGCCTTCCCTCTCCTGCTACAGCCCAAATGTCCCTAAAACAGCTACTTCTGGAAGGCAGGGACTGCTTGAGATGGGAGTCAGAGGTTCTAAGTGCGCGCGTGTGGAGGGACTGCAAAAATCACATACAAATGCCCTTCATCCATGGAAATCCTCCAGTGGATCCAAGCCAATTGCTTCTGACATGAGGTTTTATGAGCATGAATGTATGGTAAAAGATGTATCTGTTGTCAGCCTAGTGTAGTGCAGTCCAGATATAGTACATCTCAGATGAGAATGTCCTCTCTTCTAGGTGTCAATGTATCAGCCAATCAGGATGAAGAGACACACCATGAGACCTTCCAGATGCAGATTGACAAAGAAACCAAGAAGTGCATCTTCCATTCCCACACAGGCAACTACTGGACTCTGGTGTCACATGGTGGGATTCAAGCCATGGCCACAGAAGTGTGAGTTTCCCTTACAGGACCTTAAAATATTCAGGTTCTTGGAAGTCAGACTACAGCTTTCAGTAAAAATTATGGTGAGCCCAAGTATAGAGAAAACAGCCACAAGAATCAGCACAGGGCATCACGACAGGATGTATTCAAGGAAGGGAGGGTGTAGATTTAGAACAACATTGCATACAGTAATTTTCAGATTGATATCAATACAAGAATCAACAATATGATACATATAGAAGCCCTGGTGTGTTGGCACTTTCCAGCTCTCCCATTGGCTGTGCTGTGTGCTCCATAAGCCATTGGTCCATCAACCACCACTCAAGAGTACTTGCATGCCATTGGCTGGGGGCTGGGTCCACTCCTCTCTCCTGCCCACTGGCAGCCTGGCCACTGTTCCCTGTCAGAATAAACTAACAAAATGGCTGTCTCTCCTAATGAAAATGCTTCTCCTGCTTGACTCCTCCGTGGTTGGCTGGCTACTGAGGTGGGCCAGCGGCCGTCAAACCATTCTCTTCTCCTGCTGTGCAGCTAACTTTCCCCTCAGTGGCTGTTGCTAGACAACCAAGCTTGGTTCTGTCAGTAAAAAAGCAGGGGGAGGAGGCCCTTTCCAGGCTTACTTTGGCCTTGGTGGGGAACTCATTGGGGCCAGTCCTGACTAAGGCTGCCAGCTCCAGGTTGGAAAACTCCTGGAGATTTTTACAGAAGCCATAGTTTGGGGAGGGGAGAGGCCTCAGCTGAATAGAATGCCATAGAGCCCACTCTCCAAAGCTGAGGTCAGAGGGGAAGATAAAGGTAGGTTGATGGTTGGCTGGGAAGGAGATAGGGTTGCCAGCTCCAGGTTGGGAAATTCCTGGAGATTTGAGGGGTGGAGGCTGGAAAGGATGTGGTTGAGGAGGGGCGGGACCTGAGACAGGTATAATGCCATAAGATCCACCCTCCAAACCAGCCATTTCCTCCTGGGGAGCCATTGTTGCCAATCTCCATGTGAGGACTGGATATCATTCAGAATTACAACTGCTCTTCAGATGACAAAGATCAGTTCCCCTGGAGAAAATGATGGACTCTGTGTCATTATACCCTGCTGAGGTCACCACAGCAAATTGACACTGAGTGCCTAAGGCTGGGGCACCCGCCCAGAGCCTCTTTCTAGAGCTCACTGTATTTATTTTCACAATGGGCCTTATTCCTAGTCTCGCTATAAGATAACCAGAACAGAGGCATGTTCAGTACAATACAGTTGTATTTCTACCATGTTCCTACTGTGGCTTGTGAGTTTCAGTTGAAAGTATGCTAGATACAAGGGAGTGATTTCCCCCCCCCATCTCTGCTGCAGCTGTTGACCCATTTGGGGATGGTCTGCTGTGCTGCAGCCCCAACTCCTGTAGCAACAACTATATGACTACAGTGATTTCCTGTCTCTCATTTTGTCCAGGTTCTGTCCCCATGCTTCACCACATATAAGAGTTTTCAGAAAATCCAAGAATTCAGAGACTCTGCTCAATGGATAATCTGGAAAGAGCCTTCTGAACACATTTAAACTTGGTGAAATCATATGGTGTCTGCATAAGTGGGGAAGGTTGAGGGATGGTTGGCACAAACAGTTGAAGCTGCATATGTATAAGGCACAGTCTGTCTAACTTCCCATTCCCAGAGCACAAAGTTAGAATGGAGGGAATGCATTTCAAGGTGGCTGGGGCTGAAGCCAGTATCCTTTGCCAAGAAACCCAATTCTGTGTTCCCAATAAAGGGTACAAATATGCACAGCTTGTTTTCATTGCAGTATCTGTCATTACACAACATTTACAATAACAGCTGTAAATACTAAATGTAGAATAGTAGCATGATTGGAAGGGGCAGGTGAAGGGAATGGATATAGGATGACAAAACAGAAGGGGAAGAGTTGGTGAAGGGAATGGATATAGGATGACAAAACAGAAGGGGAAGAGCTGGTTCAGCTTCATTAAAGAAGGCCACCAAACAAACATGTGGTTCAATCTGTTCAACACTGGTTTCATCCAGCAAAGTAGACAATTCGTATCTTCTGATTTAAGTTAGCTAACATTATCTGCTAGAAATTACCTGGACGTTTGGTGGCTACTTCTGCAATACAGTTAAGCAAGACCTTGTTCCCAGTGACAGCAAACAGCAGCAAGCCAGCGTGGTGGTGTAGCGGTTAAAAGTGTTGGAGTAGGATCTGGGAAACTGGCCCTAGGTCACCCAGCAAGTTTCCATGGCAGAGTGGGGATTTGAAGCTGGAACTGATTCCCCACAAGCAGCTGTGCCTCCCTCACTCTTCCGTTTCCCCCACTTGCATTGGTCTGGGGGGGGGGGGCTGGGGAGGGGGAGCTGCAGATCAAAATGAGGCTGCACAGCAAATAGTGTGAAATTGACCAATGCAAGTGGGGGAAACGGAAGAGTGAGGGAGGCACAGCTGCTTGTGGGGAATCAGTTCCAGCTTCAAATCCCCACTCTGCCATGGAAACTTGCTGGGTGACCTAGGGCCAGTTACACATGCTCAGTCTAGCCTATCTCATAGGATTGTTGTCAAGATAAAATGGAGGACAGGAGAACGATGTAAGCTGGTTTGGATCCCAATTGGGGGGAAAGGTGGGATAGAAATAAAGTAGATAAATAAATAAAATATTTGCACAACGAAAGCCCTAGTAGGCAGTTCAAGGAGCAATCCTAAAATGGTCTACTTAGAAGGAAGTCACATTTTATTCCATGGGGTTTACTTCAGAGAAATTGCTTTTAGGGTTACAGCCTCCCTTGACAATGCTGTTAGGCTTCAACGATGGCTTTGCAATTCTCATCTGGTCATCAGTCCTGGCTCTTAACCCTCTGGCTGCTGCTTTTTAAAGAACCAATCCCAGCATCACTTCTGCTCAGTTCTGATCAACATGGGTGCATGGATTCCAGCATGGCCACAGAAGCCATTTCATCCACTGCCTAAACAACAGGGATGCGAAGTTTTAAACTGGCCTCTCTAGCTGTCCCTTCAATATTCGTTTGATTTGCAGCAAACACTAGAGGATGTTGTTTATCTTCATGCCATGAAAAGCTTCAGCAGTCAATTTCTATGCATTAAGCCTCCATTAAAGGGACAGGCCTTTTTCTCCGAGACAGTTGCCAACCGTACTGAGTGAGTTGCACCCTCAAAAAACATCCCCACCAAAATCAGAATGGATAGAGATGACCTTTTAGCTACTTACCTGCAAGGGATGTACAATAAGATGTTCTTTAGCAGGAGGAAGGTTCATAGAAGTAGCCTTTTTATGTGACAGCAGCAGAAGCCACTTTTTCTGTGGCTTCATCCCAGGATGCCACTATAACATTCAAAGACCCAGCACCACATGGGTGGGGCCAGTCATAAAGGTTCTTATCATGCAGTTGTTCCCCAATCTTTCCTTTTGGCAGTTTATAAGAATAGTTTAAAATATTTTCAGTTTAAAAGCACAACTAAAATAACAAACACCAAATCTCCCTCCTTAGAAGACACCTGCCAATGCAGACTCCAGTCCCTCAAAAGTCCTGGCATGCAGCACCTTTTGAAGATCTCCGAGGAGGTGGGGGGCTCACCTTTTCAGGGAGCCCAGCCCATTCTGACTAGGGTTGCCAGGTCCCCCCCGGCCACCAGCGGGGGATGGGGGACAAGTTTGCCAGCTCCAGGTTGGGGAACCCCTGAAGATTTGAGGGTGGAGCCTGGGGTGGGCAGGGAGCTCAGTGGGCTACAGCGCCATACAGTCCACCCTCCGAATGCATCCATTTTCTCCAGGGGAACTGACCTCTGTAGTCTGCAGATGAGCTGTAATTTCGGGGGATTCTTAGGTCCCATTGGAGACTGGCGTCCCTGATTACCACAAAGCCAGAGCCACGATGGAAAAAGCCCAGGCTCTGGACGATGCCAGACGGGCCACCCTAAGTGGTGGAATAGCCAACAGATGGCTGCCTGATTACCACAGTAGGTGCTCAGGGCCATGTGCACAGGAGATGGTCTTTTACATACTGTGACAAGTCACCACTTGGTAGCAAAGCTCCAGGCACGGTTGCACTCCTGATTTAGAGCAGTGTTTTCAAGATTTCTACAGTGAATAGAATTCTTTCCATACTGACATTGGCTGAAGAATCTTTGTCTGTTGCAGATGATTTGGGGATGCAGTCTAAGGTGCACTCCTGGTCAAGCAGAGGGGCGGCCCAGCCTGTTGGATCTCGCTGATACCCTATGCAGTCCGAGATTGCACCTTAGGCATCCCATTAAGGCTGCACATAACAGGGGGAAATCAGTAATGGTGAGAAAGCTATCTCCTCAGGCAGGGACAATTAGGAGGTACAAAATTCCAGGGTCCCAGGTCATACTGGAGTGCCAGACAAGCTGCCACTAAGAGATAGTAACAAGCATCTTGTGTTCATTCTAAACAAACCTTTTGAGCCCCAGGTTTCTCTGGAGTACAGCTTGGAAACTGTCTTGGATTTAGAGCATGTGACCATACCTCTCTACTGAGCATTCAGCAACTAGGATTTCTAACAAGGCTTGGATTTGGCAGTCTCACACAGAAGGCCTTCTTGCGTGAAATGTCTGTGCAATGTCTGTGATGAGCTCTGGACCCTGAGAAAGGCTGGCACAAAGAACTCCTTGTATATGTGTTGTTTGCCAGATACTGCGGGTTTTGCTGCAAATCATATTGCAATCACCACCACACTGACAAGATAGTCAAAAGTCCGAGATGTGCAAATGTGAAAGAAATCAGTGCCCTTGCAACATATGTGTGGCACTTGCAAATATCAGATTTTCTTTTAGGAAGTGACTCCCTTTATGTACTCTTCCAACCACATGGCAGCTACTTATTCCACTGCAGATTCCATGAGAAAGACTTATCCCTGCCGCCAAATATAACTGAGCCATGATTTAAGTATTCTGTCATGGAAACACAGTTGGGGGGAAAGGGGCACCTCAGTTTAATCTGAATGAGTTTTTAAACTTGATGTTGTTATGGAGAGGAAGTTTCAGAACACTCAAGGGCTCCCTAATCCAGAAAAACATGATCAAAAAACTGGCAGTTAAAACTGGACAAATGCAGATTAGCACAGAGGAATGGGGATTTATTTCAGAGGAAGCAAATAGCACATTGAGCCTTAGGAAGGGTGGGGAAGGAGAAAAAATAGTGCCCAGTTTTTCACCATTTCCTGCAAGGCACCTTGCTACAGCATGCCTGTGCGGATGAACGTGTCCCCCTTAGCATACGGAGGTTGCCTTTGACTTCCCAACACACAACATTATTAAGTATGCTGCCAATGGCAGGGACCATGCCAAGCCCCTACAGTGCATCAGCACCGGCCTTGTTACGCTACCCCAAGCAGTCACTTGCTTGGCTCATCTAGAGAAGCTGCAGTCTCTTTTCTCCCTCATTCCTCATCATTAACTAAAAAACCTGAGCTCTTCTGAGATTCACCATTTGTTAAGGAATTCAGGATTACACATTTCCGCTTCTCTATTTATGGACTTCTCAATTACTTGATCATCTCACTGGATGAAACATTATTACGACCAATAATGAGATTGTGGGTTTTATGTTTGTGAAGTGAAAAATCATTCCGTCAAATAATACTCCACTGGACAGATATAACCCTTCATGCATGGAATGGAACAACAGTCTGCTGCTGCTGTAGGATCTAGAGCCTGAATTCCTTGTACTTGGATACCTGGCACTTATTTATTTATTTATTATTTCGATTTATACCCCACCCTCCCCGAGTTAAAACCCAACTCAGATTATATTAATGTTAAGAGTCCTTAAACATCTCTCTCTATATAATAGCAATGTGTGGCCCCCATTTGCGGATACCTAAATCTGTGGATTGGGGCCACACCAACACTAAACAGATTTTCATGCAAACTTGGAGAACTCCCCCAAAAAATCAGAAATCAAAAATGAAATATAGGGGGGGGGGTGTTTAAATCCCTTCCCCAGTACAATTGCATTGTCTCCACATTTCTAGAGACGGTCCCTCTCAACAGGGACCTTCCCAGGGGAATTGAAAGAGTTCACCCTCTACTTTACAAAATCTTGTTGGACCCGTTGGTCCTTAACAACCACCGGCCAGTGTCTACCTTGCCATTCCTGGGAATGGTGGTAGAGGGCAGTGGCAACACAACTTCAGGCTTTCTTGAATGAAACTAAAATCCTGGATCCCTTCCAGTCCGGCTTTTGCCCTGCCTATGGGATGGAGACGGTACTGGTCGCCCTGGTGGATGACCTTCGGAGACACTTGGATTGAGGTGGAGCAGCGGTGCTGATTCTTCTTGATCTATTGGCGGCGTTCAATATGGTTGACCATGAGGTGTTAACCCACCGCCTAGCCGACACTGGGATATGGCGGCTCGCCTTGCAGTGGCTGACCTCCTTTCTCCAGGGTCAGGGACAGAGGGTGGTGCTTGGGGGGGAGTTATCCCAATGGCACCCGCTAGAATGCAGTGTACCACAGGGAGAAATTCTCTCCCCCATGTTGTTTATTATCTATATGCGCCCCCTCACCCAGATTATCTGAAGGTATGGGCTGGGTTGTCACCAATATGCGGACGACACCCAACTCTGTCTATTGATGAATGGCCATGCTGTGTGAACTGTACTGGCTGCCTATCGAATTCCAGATCCGTTTCAAGGTGCTGGTGCTTACCTTTAAAGCCATGTATGGCCAGGGGCCAGCATACCTTAGAGACTGCTTCTCCCCATATGAGCCCCGGAGATCACTGAGGTCCACAAATCAACATCTTCTAGCAATCCCTGGCCCCAGGGACGTCTGACTAGCCTCAACCAGGGCCACCTGGTGGAATGAGCTCCCAGTTGAGATCTGGGCCCTGCGGGATCTATTACAGTTCTGCAGGGCCTGTAAGGCAGAGCTCTTCCACCAGACTTTTGGTTGAGGAGGTAGACATCCCTCTTCCCTCCTGGCTATCCCCCCCTCCAGTGGCCTGGACCCCAATATTGGGGCACTAGTGAATTTCAAATAAGTTGATTGATAGCGGAACTAACTGTTGCACAGTACTTCAGAGTTTTACTGTTTTAAATTATTTTTAATGGTTATTTTAATGTTTATATTAAGAATTGTTGTAAACTGCCCTGAGCCCGCGAGCGGGGAATGCGGTATATAAATCAAATCAATAAATAAATGAGGGGTTGGGGGGAAAGAGAGGAGGAAGACTAGCATAGAAGGAGTAAGGGGAGAAGGCAGGTGAGGGAATATTGATAGAGGCAGAAAGAGAGATGGGCTGGAGAGGGAAGGAAGCAAAGGTTGGTGAATGCCCCTCCGCAAGTTTCTTGCAGGTCCCCACTTGTGTTGTTCTTAACAGTTAGTTTTTGTGCTGTTTCAAGTTGATCTACAATGTAACCTTAGACCCCATCATCACATTATTAGCTATGGGCCTGAGTGAACATTTCTTCCTTGCTGATATTTCTATCTGATCAGTGCTCTCCGCTCTGCCTTGGCCCCCCAGATCAGCAAACACCATGTTTGATATTGAGTGGCGTGGTCGGCGTGTAGCTCTCAAAGCTGGCAATGGAAAATATATCTGCACCAAGAGAAATGGACAACTAGCTGCTGTCACTGACACAGTAGGTGAGTTTTCCTACTGGATACTGAGATGACCTTTCTACTGCCTTGATCCCAGAGCCTGGTAGACCAAGGAATGTGGCCTGCATATCATGGTAATACTTGAAACCACAGTGGGATGCTAATCCATTTCTGTTACTATTACTTTCTTATTCAAAATGGTGGCTGCAAAAATGAGAGAAGCCACAGCAGTGCTTGCTAGACAATCAGGAGGGAAACCTAAACAGTTCAAAGTTTTGTGGCATTGGGGAAACTATGGGGACAAAACCTAGCAAATTAGTCCCAATAGTATAGGTTGGGGTATCAAAGGTAAGAAGCTGAGTCTGGAGGAAAGGCTGTGTGTGGCTGTGGTAGTTCTAGAGGAACAGTCATGAAAGAGCATGGAAGGAAGTCGGGGCAGACAAAGCGGAGAATGGAAGAAATGTGGGACAATTTCTCACTACAGCTGCCTCACAGCACAGTGCCATTTGCCCCAACACAAACATGTCAATTTCACACCCGAGGCTGCGGGGCTGCATTTGACTCGGGGCTTTGCCCAATTTCCTCCGCAGTTTCATGATCCTCAAAAACCAGGATCACGAAACGGCGGAGGAAATCGGGCAAAGCCCCAAGTCAAAATGCAGCACCCGGAGCTTCGGGTGTGAAATTGACATGTTTGTGTCGGGGCAAACGGTGGCTGTGCTGCGAGGCAGCTCTAGTCAGAAATCGCCCGTGGAGCATGCAAGTGAGTGGGGAGGAAGTCACTGCTCTGCTAGTTGTAATAAGGGGAGATATCCAGGCCTCACCTGGAGGCTGGCAACCCTAGTACTCAGACACACACAGTTTGCATTCCCGGCTCTTCTTCGTAGTCCTGGCAGTTATATTAGCCTCAGCAGTTGTCTGACCCACATTTGTCTGACCACAGGGGAGGATGAGGAATTTGTTCTCAAGCTGATCAACCGTCCCATCCTGGTTCTTCATGGGGACCATGGCTTTGTGTGCTACCATCGCAATTCCAACATGCTGGATGCCAACCGCTCCACCTATGACGTCTTCCAGATCATCTTCAATGACGGCGCCTACCAGATCAAAGGTGTGAACAGAGAAAATGGGGGGGGGGATTTTTTGCTAATATTCTTCATTCAATGAAGTCATTTTGGACTACGTGCTGGAGGGATGCTGTGCCCACACCAACATTTCAGCTGTGAACACAATCACATGGGCTTGCCAAACTCCTTAGAGCCCAGATGTACTGGAAGTCAAGCTATCTGGCAGAAAACTAGCTGGGATGACAGGTGGTAAAGAGATAAGTCTGGGGGTTGGGTGTTCAGCTCCTTGTTACTCTTAAAGTAACACCTCTGCTCACCACTTTATATACAACTGAGGCATGCTTAGATTGGGGAGGGCGGGCTATAAATGTGAATAAATAAATAATAAGCAGATTCGCTGCCACAACATCTAGCTGAAATTTCAGATTTGCTCGCACTAAAGCCTAATCACACATGCAAATTGCCGCACACAACCACATGGAGACAGGTCCATCTGGCAAGCTCTATTTGTGCAAAGCCTCTCACCATACCAACATTAATCTAATATTTCTAAAGTTCCTATCATGTTTTATGTGCTGTACAGCATCTGAAAGTCAGTTAAAAACACTACCTGTAGGATTACAATCTTTTTGCCAGGAGTGGTGAAGACCATACAAACCACATGGCTTGCCTCCTGGAATTGTCTCCATGCGATTTCAAGTAGCTGCCACAGTGCAATTTGCAAGTGTGGACCTCAGTGATGGCCCATATTTAGAGTTGGGAAACTCCTCCATTGGGGAAAACCCTGGCATTTTGTTGTGTTTCTTTGCCTCGTGTGGTTTCACTTGCTTGTACCCTGCAGAGCTATTTGTTCCCACAGGCTCACTAGTTCTGGGGTGGAGTCTGGATTGATTGGTTGATGGCTTTTGTTTGAGAAGTGAGGACTGAACTAGGGCCAGTTCTATATTTCTTTATCTATCATTTGTTTGTTGCTGGCAATGGAAGCTTCCAGTACAACCGGCTTTCTTTCATCCTAATGCACGTCTCCTTCTCAGAATTAGGAAGGCCTGAAAGTGTGTTCTGCTGAAATTTTTATCTTTCCTGGATCCTTCTTAATAAAGGAGACTATCAGTGAAACTACCAAAGGAAGGGGAGGCAGGAAAAGGGAAGATGATGTTATTACAATAATCCCTGGGCAGCCTGGTGACACTGGTCTCTTTGGTGCTTCTAGGCCTAGGTGGCAAGTTTTGGTACGTGGCCAGCAATGGCACCGTGTGCAGTGATGGTGAAAGGTCTGAAGATTTCTTCTTCGAGTTCCATGAGAGCAGCCGCGTGGCCATTAAGGGGAAGAATGGCAAATACCTTCGAGGCGACCAAGCCGGGACACTGCGTGCTGATGCGGAGACCCTGCATCGTGCTACACTTTGGGAGTACTGAGCCCCCACATCGCCTGCCATGTAGCACTTTAGATGCTCTAGGGCCCACCATGGCCAAGCCAGGTCAGCATGGACACAGAGATGGGGGTATCAGAGGCAGCATAGCGCTCCCACCTGGACTCCAGTGGCAATATAATACTTCATGGAAAAGGACTTTGCTGGGATGGGCGCAGGGCAAACAACCTCTTGCCCTATTCCCTGTTGTCTTATCTGTCTACCTTTAGAAGCAGCAACCTAGTAAGACTCCCAGGAGGAAAACACTACAGTGTATCAGTCAGGGTGACAGTGATAGAGGTACCATTTCAAAGCCAGTGCAGTAATGTCTACAACCAGGTTCTCACGAAGTAGTGGGTGTTCCAATCCTCCCGCTCCCCACTTCTCCCATGACACCGCCAAAGCTCCAGATCATGTACTGTGATGCATGCATCATCTGTTCTGCACCCCAGACAGAAAAGTCAGGCCAGGACTCAGGGCCCAGTGGAGGCTGCTCCAAGCATGGCAATGCAACTTACCCTTTGCAAGTGCTGTGGCTTGGCCTCAAGGACTCCCAGCTCAGCTAAAGGCACAAAAAGACCAGAATTATGCAGCCCAACTCCCACTCCAATCCAGTTAAAGAAATGGGAGCTGAGTGTGTGTGCATGTCTAGTTCCTTATCTCTACTCTGCCAGTATTGCACAGCCTAGACATATTTCCCATGCATTGCCCAAAAGCTGTACTTGCAATGCTACCCCCCCCCCCCGAAAAAAATCTATTGCAGAAATTCTGGCCTTTTTTGTTTGTTTTGGCCCAGCTGTGCTGCTCCTTCTCCTACCCCTGGGTCTGCTGGAGAATGAAGGCCACATGTAGAGGCAGGAGCCAGAGGCCATTTAGAAGCCAATGCAGACAGGAAAGACTTGGCAGGGAGAGAAATATCTTCCCCAGGATGGTCATTGTCCCAGACAAAGAGCTGCTTAGGGTGAAATACAGGGGTGGGAGGTGATGAGCCACAGATTCACATGGAAGGACATAAAGAGCATGGAGATGAGCCCTTTATTTGAAAACTGAGAAGGGCTGGGGAACCCATGGCATGGGGCTGCCTAGGACTAAAAGTCAGGATTCCCAAGACTTCACAGATTTTTGGGTCATTTTCACAAGACCCAAGTCTGCTTGGCCCCCTGATCAGCCTCAGTTCTACCACTTCTCTAGAAATGCTCCCCTGAGTAGAGTCTGCACCCCTTCCACAAATAAACTCAAGAGGAAGGAAGTTGGCTCAATGAAGTTTCCTGCTTCAACAGCTGTATATGGAAGTCAACATGAGTTCCTTTCTATAGATGTGCTTTCCCTTGTTTCTATCTGCTGATGTGTCTGCTCTCGCAATTCTGATGGGAGACAATGCCCAGCTCGACAGCAGTAAGATCAAACAAGTAAAGGCTTGTGAAATTTACTGGAAAAAATAGTTAATGTTATTTGCAGATGCACAGAGAAACTTGTCCATTTTACACAATGCTGTATCTAGTAGAACTGCCTGGCTACAGTGTGAATGATGAAAGCTATATAGCAGACAAGGGAGGGGTCTGTATGGACAAGAGATTCCACAGGTATACAAAAAAAAAAAGACTTTTAAAATTAACCAAAAGAAAAAGACATATCAGCTTACGCAAGCCCCGGAGGGAAACGGTTATCTAAATTCACTCACTTACCCTCTTTCTCCCTGGGTAGCCCATTTCTGCAAATCTCTTCCTGGAGTGTATTCTTCATATTATAATACTAGCCCCAACAGCATATGCAGCCACCCTTCTATAAGGGATGGGAAGTGGATTTTCCACTGCTTCTTCCCCAAGAGGGATGTGTTACATGCAGGGCTTTTTTTGTAGAAAAAGCCCAGCAGGAATTCATTAGCATAATAGGCCACACCCAACAGCAGAATCTCATTAGCATATTAGGCCACATCCCATGCCTTCCCTTGGGGAGCCTGGGCAAGCCCCCCCTTAAAGGGAAGGGAAGGTAGTTTAAACTGCCTTCCCTTGGCTTGCCCGGGTGCCCTGCGGCTGTGGGGAGCCTGGGCAACCTGGCCCTCAGACAGACTGGGGAATGCACGGGGAGGCATTTAAATGCCTCCTGATCCTTCCAGGGGGCCCCCTAGCCCGCCCACCTTGGAGTCGCTGGGGGGCTGTCACTCTCCAGGCCTTCCCTCCGCAGCCACGCATACAGAGGTTTTGGCTGTAGTGGGTGCGGCCTACTCTGAAGCCAGCCGGAACTCCGTTCCTGTGCGTTCCTGCCAAAAATAGCCCTGGTTACATGTATGTTGGATAGGGGAGAAACACACAGCCACCAAAGGCAATTGCTGATATGGGTGGGGGAATGGGTAGTCTGGCTGGTACATAGAACTGTTTCCGCCAGAGGGCTTCATGAGCACTCCTGCACAAACTGCATTTGATGGGTGTGAACCTCTTCTGCTTCTAAAGCAGAGGTAAGTAATGCTTCTGTGCGCATGTGCTGAAGAGCAACACACCAGGCCATTTTGTTTGGCATGCAAGGCCAGCCCGCCACCCAAGCAACCAAGGTGAGCCCCTGAGGCGCTGGCAGTTGCTGGGGCCAGCAGCACGGGAAAAGGCTAAGGGCAGGGCTTATGCCCATCATTGGCTCCTAGATCCACAACAGCCACCAGGCAAGTGCACAGTAAACCCCTCAAATGCTGGAAGCACCACTGGGGTTCAGCTTGCTCCCAGAATATCTGACCAAGTATGACTCTCAACTCCCCCCCCCCTTTGCCCAACACACCATCTTCACAGATAGGACTAATTTTGGGGGGCAATTGGGCCAGAACACTTGCCTACTTCAGTTCTAAAGACTGTTTTAAAACAGATATGAGTACACCCTCATGGAAGAAATATGCATATACACGCCTGAGTCACCATTGCATACATGAGCACACTGCTGCTGTTTGCACCATTAAAGTTGATGTTAAACATTCCCTTGTGCACACAGAATCCACCTGCTGATGCAGTGTAAGATAGAAGAGCTTTCCTCCTAGAGAGCAGCAGTCAAATAACAGCTGGTTCCTACTAGACCTGGGTGGAGTTTTGCACTGATAATATAAACCAATGATATTATTAAGTGGTGGCAACACTTGAGGTGCTTTCTTTTGCCATAGTAACTACCAGTGCCGGGAGGGTGTGTATGGGCACAACTCCCTATTTTGCTCTGATTGCTGCTGCAAATACAAAGGCATTCACTGCAGCAATGGTGCTTCTGACAAGAGACAGGGTTGCCAACTGCCTGCAAAAAAAAATGTCCTGTCCCTTTAACAAAGGCTTGAAGGGCTGTTATTTACCAGTTGGTGTCCTTTACCTCCATACCCTTGAAAAGCTTCAGTCGTGCATTCCCACACATTAATGGCACAGGGCATTTTCTTCAGGCCTGTTGGCAATCCTGCAGGGAGATTTACTCAGTGTTTCCCCCCCCCCCCATCCCTGCCCTCCCCCCAACTGCTGGCAGGCTTTTTGACTTTTTGTTATCAGTCATTTGTCTATCACAGCAAGTGATTAAAATGTAGAATTTGCTGCCAGAGGATGTAGTGATGGCCACGGGCACATACAGCTTTAGAAGGAAATTAGATTAATGGAGGATAGGTCTATCAGTGGCTATGGACTAAAGAGAACCTCCCCATTCAGAGGCAGTCAACCTCTGAATCCCAATGCCAGGACGAAATATCAGGGGAAGGCATTGGCTTCTATGCCCTATGGTTGGCCCGCCAGGAGAACTGCTTGACTGCTGTATGAAAGGATGCTGAACTAGATGGAGCACTGGTCTGACCCAGCAGGGCTCTTCCTATGTTCTTATTTTCACCAGAGTGTTTTGACACTACAGTAAGATCGCTCCTACCAATCATTAAAAAGCAACTCGCAAAAAGCTCACTGGGAGGGATGACACCAGACATGGTGCCAGAAGTGGGTGAGCATGCGTGGAAATTTGCCCTTTCCATTTCACACTTGCCCAAGCCAACTTTTGGCATGATCTCCCAGTAAAAGTTCATTCCAAAATAGACTCGGGGAAAATCTCATTGGGGCTGGGAAAAAGCCAGAAGGTTAGTAGAAGCACAACAATGTCACGTGGAAGCCAAAACAAAATCCACTGCAATTTGATGATGGAGCATAATGAATGCAGAGCATGTCTTCAAGCAGGATCCTGTGTGACAGGACTAGCTGTGGATTCATTTCAACAAGCACTTGCAGAATAGCTCTCCAGAGATATAACGCCCCAGTCCATTCCAAATTCTGCTTTAAGTTGAACGTGGCACCCTAGAATATGGCACAAACCGGGAGGGGAAGTTCCGTCACTTATCCCTAGGGAGGTCACCGGCAGAACATGAATATGGATATGCCTGCAGCACCTGCACAACCACATTCCACAGTTTCAGGGCTGGGAAGACACAGCTTCTCTGCATTGGACACCCTGGTGCTGAAGAGATGTTTGGCTCTGCCTCAACAGCTGTGTATTTATTGCACAACGAAGGCTCTCCCGTCACTCCCATCTAGAGAAGCCCTCAATCAGAACACCAGGAAGGAGATAGTATGGAGAGTTAGCCATTTCATCTCTTCCTGCTTTAACTGGCTGCACTCTCAAATGAGGGACAGTCCTCCAAAAGTCCCCAATTAGGGGATTTCTGGCATGCCTGGCTAACAAGCACCACGGGAAGTTTTGTACACACACACCACCCCGTATCTCTCTGAATCAGACCACAAAAGCATGATTTATCCTAGCTACCGTGACTCATAACATTTTTGGTGCCCAAAGGCCAAATCTCACTTAAAGCACCACTCACAGGGAAGGAATGTGGCTCAGCAGGAGAGAATCTGCTTGGCATACAGAAGGCCCCAGGTTCAGTCCCTGGCATCTCTACCTTAAAAGCTCAGGTAGCAAGTGATATGAAAGACCTCTAATGGAGAGCCATATGGACCCAAGTTCAGTCCAAGACTTTACACCAGAGACTCTGGGGCAGAATTCCTTGAAGGTAATGCA